ATCCTTGTCAAATTCTAAAGAATACGTGTATTTCATATATCAAAATTTCGAGATAATCAAGGTTGAAGTTGCGGTAACGCGACAAATCAGAACGCGTTTAAACGGAGCCTAAATGACGTCGCGAGTCAGCCCACGAGGCCTGCTTACACTAGGCCAATAACACTAAGAGTATCGTCTCTTGTATCTTACTCAATTACATGCAGATAAACAGGGACACTACGACGATACTCTTACTGTTATTGGCCTAGTGTAAGCAGGTCTTGCGGGCTGACTCACGACGTCATCTACGCTCCGTTTAAACACGCTCTGATTGGTCGCATTACTGCAACTTCAACCTTGATTATTTCGAAATTTTGATATATGAAATAAAAAATGAAAATACACGTATTCCTTAGAATTTGACAACGAATGCAACGATGTTACTACAGTTCGTTTCATAACGAACACCCTGTATACACACATATATGTATATCCATAAAACTATTTGTTTTCCTGCTCGTCTCTCAGGATCCGAGCCTATATTTAATGCAGTCGAAAGTGCATTATTACGGAAATTTGTGTACGTATAAATAAGACCGGAGTATTATCTGGGAAAATATTGTAAAAAATGTAAAAGAAAGATGGCGCTAGTGATGAATACGAAATTTCACGAACCTGCCGATGTGGCTAATGAAACGAGTCATAATGGCAAATTGGAAAAGGCAAATGGGGAATTCGGCCACGACGGACCCTCGAGGTAAAATCGTAAAAACGTAAAGCACTTTCTTGTATGACTTCGTCGTGAAAGGGAATTGAACGGTCGCCCGAGTGCGCCATTAATCCTAGACAATCGGGACAAATTGAGAATCGGCCTCAAGTTTCGGTGATAATCCGCAAGATGTCAGGAGTCGAGAGGCGTTGAAAAGCGTTACCGTGTATCGATGGCTTTGACAGTTCTTGGGAGTATTATGTGCGAGATTGGTTTTATGTGAATGAGGTAATTAGGCACTTTCTAACCCCAATAAAGCAAAGGCGGCGACAAATTGTTATTGTACCTTTGTCGAGACGAAGCAGGTAACGAAAAATATGTAAAGCTGCTATGCACGAGGAGAGTAGGTGTTACCGGAGATAGAATTCGAATAAGTAGGGTTAAGGTAATTGTTTTTATACGTGAAATGTAGTTTCGTCCGTGAAAGATGATTCAACGTCTTACGATTATTTATGAAAAAAGTGTTTCTTGTAAATATTTCGAGTAATCATGATAGTTTCCTTTGCCTCACGAGTTTCTCACTTATTTTTTTTTCTCTCATTTCACTGTGACGGGTCGTAACGACTAGAAGGTTTCTCGCGTGCAGGAAACGAACAAATCTAGAAACCTTTCTCTCTCTCTCTCTCTCTCTCATTTTCAATAATTTTCTCTTCTACTTAAAAGCACTCTCTCTCTCTTTCTCTCTCATATCCTCACTGACAGCCACTCACGCTCTCACACTTAGAATTATTAGCCAAACATTCTCTCGGTTATTCTTGACTTTTTTCTCTTTTTATATTTTCCCTCGGAATCCGTCGCCTGGAGCATACTTCACCGTTACATCAATATCGATCGCGTAATCGATCTATCGTTTATTACCGACGCCCAACTTACTCGAACGCTCTTATCCTCTGCTGTTTAACCTCCGCGTCACTTGCTAGTCAAGCGACTTTCAAATATTAATTATTTTCAACTTCCATTTCCTGTCCTTCGAATAAAAGCCAGCCGATGGGATATGGTCCGTTCGCGAGAAGAAGGAATGAAAAACTAGTCGCTCAAACAAGAGAGTCCAAAATATGTAAATTTCAAATGCAACATGAAAAGAGAACCCAGCCGACTCGATGCTTCGAAACGTTCTCACAACATGGTTTTTTGATTTTAATTATTTCAAGACCTTCGAAAATCTTTTCTCGTGGTCTCTTTCGCAACAAATAATTTCGTTCGAACGACTCGAAGTATCGACTGGCATTAGAAATGGTGATTATTCACAATATGTATAAATGCATAATCGGAGATACAGTAATACTTTTCAACATGCACAACTATCAATGCGTAACTAAACTAATGCAATAAGAGTGGTCAACGATCACATCGTTTCGCCGATAATGACGATTATGAATTTTTAATGTCAATGACGATGACATGCGTAAGTATCGTGATCCCAGGTCATTAACGAATCGTGGACGAAAGTCTCGAGAAAGCACGTTACTAATGATCTACATATACGACTATATTTTTTTTTATTCCCAAAGCTCGTGGACACCGGAAGGATAGAAGATTCGAAGAAGCGAGTGTCAAGCCGAACGATTGTTCATAGTAGAATCGAGAACAAGTCATTTATAAATTTCAAGTTGGATTAATTCGAGACTGAAGATTCTCGAGAATTTCGTCATTCTCTTCGACGGACCTCGACCAAGAAAAACTTCCACGACTCCGTTAACACGTCCCGATGCCAACCTGGCACTTCGCAAGTGCAAGGACAGAGAAAATCGTGTATGGATTTCATACATTTTTATTAATTACCTACAAATCAAATATTCCAGTCAGATAGCGCAGAGGTACTTTGAGCTGCGAAATCTGTAAAAAAAAAAACAGGGTGACAGTCGAATATATTCATTAGTATTTCCTTAATGAAAATCCGACCCAAGCCTTGAAGACCCTAATTTATTACTTTTGCCTCCTTTAACTCCTATAATTCTGAAATTCATTGAAAATTTCGATTGTACCACAAGCTCGTGGAATGGCCCGTCCTTACAAGCGTTTTTCAAGGTCTGGTCTTTTAATTTTCACGGACAATAACGCTCCGTGAAAAATGAAGAACACTAAATGCTATCCGGCAGGAAATCTATTCAATATAAAATGTTCCTACCAACACCCATATTTACATTATCCAATAAAGTAATAATAACAAGCGACCGGCACTTGAATTATCCATGAAAATAATTACCTTCTGTAAAATATTCATTATCTATTACATTATTCGCATTGTTCTAGGTAAAGAAGCAAAAACAACCAGACCAAATTTCTTCCTACGGAATCATCGTTGACAATACCCAGTATGTGTTGCTAGTAGTACACGTGTTTTCGCACAGAGGGATACTTGTAGTTCCTTTTTTTTAATGCAAAAAAAATACATCAAAACCAGATAGCACTCAGTACCCTAATATCGCTATCTACCTATTATCTAATAATATTTATTTCCAGCTCTCCTCTTATATGACGTAATGATATGAAAACACGATGATAAACGCTGATATATTTTTTTGTGATTTTCTACTTGTATTTCCCATCTTCCCATTATTGGATATCTTTTTTTTCCCAGTTGCGATCTCTCTCTCTCTCTCTCTCTCTCTCTCTCTCTCTCTCTCTCTCTCTCTCTCTCTCTCTCTCTCTCTCTCTCTCTCTCTCTCTCTCTCTCTCTCTCTCTCTCTCTCTCTCTCTCTCTCTCTCTCTCTCTCTCTCTCTCTCTCTCTCTCTCTCTCTCTCTCTCTCTCTCTCTCTCTCGAGTTCCGTTTCCTTTCTCCTCTTCACAGTCGAATTCATGAATCCCAATCACTCTCGCGTATCTTTATGAATCAATTACTTCTGATAAATTCTCAACGGAAAATTCAGGTCCTGTCGAACTCTCGACGAGCCACAGTCTATCTTGATATATATTTTTGTATATACACATATATATATATATATATACATAAGCAGTATGTATATATACATACAGATATATGTATATGTATGTATACAGTATATATGTATACATACAGATCTTCAGTTTTACGTATGTATACCTATATATGTGTATATATATACCTGTGATCTGCCTTTCAAGACATTCTCATATTTACTAAATATCTAGCTAACGGCTAGTCTCAATCTCCTATTCGTGTATGAATGACGTAACAAAATTGTCTCCTCGGCACGGAAACGACTCTTAAAGAGTTCCTAAATACGCTCGTGGAAATATTTGTCGCGGTAGACAGGGATCTCTGCCACGTCTAGTGGGAGACCGTCGAGAAAGATTTACGTACTTCTCGCGCACTTTTTACTTTGCTATCTAAGCGTCTTAACGCGGCTTCACGGACCCGGGAATTAGTTTGAGTTACGTTTAGATCGGTTCCCAGTGCGATATACGTACTTGAGTACGCACGTATGTGAAATGGCTAAATTACTCGTGAGGTCGGTTGGATCGACCCGTGCATTGTTTTGTATGTATCAATCGAAAACAAGAGTAATAAGTGAATTTGTATTTTTTTTTTGTGATTTGGACGAAGAGGGTGACGTTTACATCTATGGGTTCGAGACATGGCTGAACTCTATGTATCTTTATTTACTATGTGTTTTGTATATGTGTATATAGATATATATTTGTGTATATAGTATGTAATATATGTGGAGTAACTATAACGGTAAACCGGTCTAAACGGAGCTCTAGTTACTTTTTTTGGGGAATTTTCAACGCCACGTGGGGAAAACTGAGGATAGATATGTCTTGCGAGTGTAGAAATTGCGAAGGAGGACGATGATTTATGTAAGAGTATAATGAAAAAGAAATTATTTAGTGAAAAGTACTTTCGCGGGATATATTCATATATATATATATATACGATTTGATTAAACCTTTCTCGCTATCGTGTCGAATTACCGAATTTCCTACCTTTACCGACCGGGACGATGCTTTGTTTCTAGTATCGGCCAATAGGTGGCCACCGATCTTCTTTATCGATCGATGAAGACGCCATGACGGAGCTTTGGTTTTTTATCTACTTTCGCGATGAAGATTTCTGACAAAACTGGTGATGATCATGAGATACCGGATGAGTGTTCATCGAGGACTAATAATTCCACTCGATTACAATTGCTTTTTTATGAAAATTTCCTGCTACGTTCAACGGGAAATAATTAATTCAAACTTTCGACGAAAGTACGACACTTTCAGGTTATTGAAACTGATTCTCTGTCACTTTTTTGTAACTAAATTCCGTCTTTAATTAATCGCATAATACCTAAACACGCAATCGTCGCGTACTACGCACGCGCTTACATGGACTTCGGATAACCATTGGCTTTCGTTTCGTTGCGGATTTGCATTCAGGCGATTAACCACTTCCGCTGGAAAGACGTGCCAGGCACGTGGAGATGTTTTTGTTTCTGTAGCGTTTTGTCAGGCGGATCGGTCAATTCGTTGTCAGCGCAAGTGGTTAAACTTCTCGGTGCATTTTGTATTTTTTTTTCTCGCAATTACTTACGAAACACAAACATCCCGTCTTTTATATATTTATTAGGTACATTACATACGCGTCATACGTTTTTTTTTTCAAGCATAGTATTGTCAACAGTTGTGTTTTGTTCTTTAATTATTTTTTCTCCTTTGTTCTTTTTAATGGCTTCTTCTCGCGCGTTTGAAATACGCGCCGCGAGTAACAGTCTGAAAAGTCTGGCTTTGAATTTTGGTCTGCGCCATCGTAGCGGACGGACGCGGTTTCGCGCTGACGATGCGCGATTCTCTTTTATTTTTTTTAATTTCTATCTACTTCGACCTCTCTGATTCGCTTATTCACCCAACTCCACCTTCCTTCTCTCGCGCCCTGTCTTTCTCGCCTACGTACCACTTGATTTCACGAAAGAACGTTTCTCATCGTTTAATCTATTGTAGATTCGAAGATTGAACATTCAATGTTACTCCCTGCCACCAGACCACTGCGTAGCAGTGACCTGGCTTCTAGTGACAATTCTAAACACGAACTCATAGGTACACTCACCCTACTAATGCATACTAAATGGGGAATCAGATGCGTACGACTTCGGTCCTCGAAAGTTCCGACCGAGGGCGCCACTTTCGAATCGCGCATACGAAATACAGTTTCTTTTAGATGCGCACGACGGGTGCGTCCTTTACGTGGATTTTCATTAATCCTACCTTTTCCAATGCAATTCCTATCTTTGCGTTGCCATGTTATCCCAACAATCGATATATGCCTCAATCGACGAAAGACACTCGACGAGAAGCACCGTACTCGAAATTAAAATCGACAAGGTCAGAAGATATCAGACACTTTGGGACGATCGATAGGCGTACAGAGAATAGAAATCGGAAGGTTATTCGACAGAGGAAACTATTGTTTTCCTTTCTTCTTTTTACTGGGAGTACCTTTCGTGTATAGTATGTATAGTGTCTTTGTGTCAATGCGTACGCGCCACCTGTAGGCGTGTTATGTATGTACTTTTTTTTTTTTTTTTTTTTTTTTTTTTTTTTTTTTTTTTTTTTTTTTTTTTTTTTTTTTTTGTTAAGGGGTAATTATCACAGAATACACGAGATATCTTGTTAAGCTTACGAGATAATAATCCAAGCGCAGAGTAGGAGGAAAAATAGTTGGGACCGGCCCTGCCGACTTTTCTGCACTCGAGTTTCTCTCCCTCTCTCTTTCTTCGACTTTGTTTTTTATTTCTCTGTGCGCTTTACAAGGCCGACAGAACCAGTCTCTGGTGCCGATATCGCCCGCCATTACGTAATTAGTATTAGTACTTGCTTAGGCAGCAGAGAGAAAATAGACACTTTACAAATGAAGGTGATGGTCAAGATTGCGGAGTCACAGTTCTCAAAGACTATTCTATAATATATGTATGTTCTACGTTATGAAAGTCGTTAAAATGTTTCATAATGGATTTTGCGCTTTTCTTTTTTTAACAACAAATTTGCTTTCTCTCTCACTCCTTATACTCTCTCTTTCTTTCTTTCTCACTCTCTCTTCCTCTTCATTCCTCCTTACAAATCTCTCTGTCTACGTCTCCTTTCAGCCCCCTTATATAAATTATCAGCTTCTCTCTGGAGAAGTCAATTCGCTCGACATGAAAAAACCTGTGCTAGCATTACAGTTCTCACTGATATTCAACAATAAAACGTAAGGCGCTCGTTATAATTGGGAGGCAGCGACGCAATAGACACTTGAAAAGATTCGGAGAGTCGTGTTTGCCTTACGTCATCATTATAGGTTTGCCATTTTTTTTTTATTGTTCTTGTCTTTGAAGATGATGCGTAGTCACTGGACCGCGAAGCGTGCGATGAAAACTCTTTTTTTTTTTTTCGGGTTTGAAAGTCGCGCGCGCCTTATTCCTCTATTGGCGAAGAGCCCTCTCGAAAGCTGACGTGAGCCGATAGAAAATTGGCCAGACTGTTATATATATAAAAAAAGAAATCAACACTGAGAGAGTGTGAGGGGGCGTGAATAGCGAGCTCGATAAATTGGCAAAAAACTAAAGAACAGTGACTTATTCAAAAATGAGAAAGGCGTCGACTTTCGAGCGGCACTTACGCCGCGTTCACGTCAACAGTCAGACTCTTACGATCTCTGATAATCCTTACGATTACGAACATTACTTTACATTACAATGCCTATTATTATTAGCGACGCGTCCAGAGTATTATCAGGACGCGCCTTTTGGTCGTACGCAATGCTACCTTAATTATATTAGAAAAAACTCTTCCTCAACAACTTCACGTATCTACAATAAACAGTCCTCGGAGCAACGACCTCTTCCTTTCATTCTCTCTCTCGTTCTCGCTCTCTCATGCTCGATTCACGTTCAAAAGTTCGACTGCCTTCGACGACTGACTTCTTCTCTTTGCCGATAGGTCGTCATCGCCGTCGCCGTCGTCACGTTAAATATTATAATCTTTCGCGCCCGCACTCACGTACGCAGAGACTCCTGTGCCCTACTTCACTCGATTGTTCGTCATGCGTATGTGAATCATAGCGAGTGAACGATCGCGCGTTCGCCAATCTGTTTTAATATAAGTCGATTCAAAACGATTTCGAAGCGTTCTTGAAACGAACGAAAGCGTTTGTCACGGATCCCGTTTCTCTTGGTATAATTCAGCCTGGAGTCTCTCCTTGGATCCGCGAGCAAGTCTTTCCGAGCTCTTGACGTCGAGCTCATAATTCGCACTATATAAGTTCTCTTTTCGTTACATATGAATAATACCGAATATTGCGCACTGGCAGCACTGTTTGTCGCGTCCAGAGTTATCTCGTTTACTCGGTCCGCTCGCCAATCGGTTGATAACCGCAGGGATGCAGTTCGATTACGTTCGAGGTAGTATCCCTAGTCAGGAACAAGGCGTAAAAATAATAATCCTCGACGTCCCGCCAGCTCGAGGAATCGCGACTAATCTGGATATTCTAGGATTTTTTCAGGATCGAACGTCCAGCCTCGCGAAGTTCAAGGATCACCACCTATTTCTCTCTCCTCTCTCTTCGGGTCTGATCTTCGCTCAGGCTCTGCTCTTCAACGTGGCGATCGTCTGATTCAAGGCAAGGTCATCCTCATGGCCGTCTTGCGTCAAGCTCTCTCGAGCTTCTTGGAAGTTCGATTTACGATTCGCTTTTTTCTAGTTTTTCAGACGTGTCGCTTCAAGTGGGATTCGGCATTGGATTCTCCTGTCGAATGTCACTCTTCAGCTTCACAAACTCCTTGGCGACCTCGTCGTTGTTCCTCTGCGACAGGATACGCAAAATCGTCCAGCCGGTCTCGTCCATCTGGATCCTCTTGCCAAGGGAGAGCCAGCATGCACAGGATCCTTGGTCCACGATGTCCTTCAGCTGCATCACAGCGACTCCCACGAGACGATCCTCACGAGCGAAGCAATAATCCTTTACGCAAATGTGAAGCTCGAAAAAGTCCAGCTGTTCCTCGTTTCCAATGATACTACGCGAGATTGGAGAGACAATTTTATTTATCTCAGTTATATTAATGTCGCAATTATTAAAAAGTCATGCAAGCTCATCACGAGCTAGATATACTTACAAGTGAAACGTTTCGTTGAACTTTGGTGACAAATTGTTACTTCTCGACTTGGTAGCGTATTTTCTTTTCTTATCAGCCAGATGTGGTCCTATCAGGTTGACCTCGACGAACGGTCGAAACGTGCTGGTTGCCAAAGGCCATTTGAGGTCGTTAGCAGCGACGACTGAAACACGTTGGAAATTATTGATTTACCTTTTGTTTTGGTCCTTTCTCATTTTTTTTCTTTTACAATTTTTAGTTACCTTTCACGGTGACCTTGTGTTCGCCGGTTCCAGGATGAGTGAAGAGGTCAACTTGGATGCTAACTTCCCCAACTGGTCCATCGTCCGAGCCGGTGGTGTCTAAAATATTAAGCAGAGTTAGGAACCTTCCTGTTTTGATGACGCGCTTTATTCTTGGGCCCTAAGGGCCTCTTCTCTACGGTCACTGGAAATTCCCTGGGGACTTCTAATAGCTATGACTGTTTAACAATCTAAGATTCTATTTTCTCACTAGTCCTAAAGAGCAAACTTCATGCTGTACTTGTGTGTAGTAAGCACGCTATTTCAGTAGGAATTAGTAAATTGAATGCTTTCGACCAAAAAGTTTAATATAATTTCAGATCACTTTTCATCATTTCATATAGTCTTCTGTACTACGTTTTATTTTACTGATAACAATTATTCCTAACGCTTAAAAGTATTAATTTAGATTGGAACGAAGTTACCGTAACTTTTCAAATATAAACAGAATAATTATGCTCAATATGCATATTCAGTGTTATGAAGATTACAGTATGATGACGTAATGTTTGACATTACCAAACAATTTATAATAATTAAATGAACGAACGGATACTAAATTCTGATAAACAAGGGATAATAGTCTATTTATTCCGAAATTTCCAAATGAATAAACCTAAGTCCGTGACGACTGGAAAATAAATGTATGATACAAAATATACATATGTATATAAACGTATTAAACACAAAGTACCTTATGCACTAAACTATTTGTGATCTATCATTAGTGTATCATCGGTACAGGTGTTATTATTAAAATGATATAAAAGCTTTTAGCTACTCGCTAATCGTACAGCATATCAGAGCAAATCACTCAGTTAGTGTCGTATCGTATAAAATAATTAAACTATGTTGCTGTAAAGAATAAAATTTTCAGTGTCATAGTGTGTCGTTTCACTGAAAATTCAAATTACTCATGATTCCAACACGGTCGTGTTCTCAATATCAATTTCAATGTAAAAGTTCAATAAACACTTTTAATTTGTGACGCTGGCACTGTGACTCAGTGTATGTAATAAATAGTAAGTGACAGTGACTAAGGTATGTACCGTGTATGTACATACAATCCACTACTATGAAGCTGTGGAAAGGTGATGTGATAATGCATTAATGCGTTCCAGCCAAGTTTTCAGTAACAGTAGCAGCGACAGCAGCACCTAGTAGAATCGACCCCGAGACGTCTCTGGTATTTTTAATAATATTTTATATCAACCAGAAGAAAAAAACTGGAAAAAATCACAAGTATCCAATATAGCAGAAAAATACGATTAAAACAATTTCCCTCTGCGTTTCAACGTTTCAGTAATTCAACAATTCATTAATTTGCTTATAGAGAAATTTATAGGATCTTTGAATGACTCTTTTTTTTTTGTTTACGTGATAATACCAATCTGACAAATCAGAGACGCGTCGAGTCGTGATAGCAAATAGTTCTACGTCCTATAAGTGTTTAACAAGGGCAACACTTGAAAGGGGAACGGAAGTTGAGCGAGCAGCAGTCAGGAGCGTTGACTTCCGGTCAACGGTGCTTTTTATCAGGTACCTTGTCGACTCTCCCGACGTAGGGGGGGCTTGCTTTGGCGAAGGGGTTCCTCGAGGCTTTCCATGCCCTCGGCTCCTTCGCCCTCGTCCCCCCTTTCGCTGCTCATCGAGCGCTGACGCTGACGCAACGTTGACGCATCATTCAGCGGCACTGTCCCCATAATTTATTATGTCGTTGTCAAAGATACCGAATACCGGATGCGTGATTGGAAGTGTCAGAAAGTGTAAAAGAGTTAGTTATATGTGATATGTATGAGAAGCCTTGAAAAATTGACTTTCGGATATAACGAACAATGATTTACATCCATGACGAGTGGATGATCTTATAAAAGAGTTGGTTGTCCCTTTGTCGTTACCTCCGCAAGCAAAAGTACAATGACAATTTGTGAGTGTCTGCGAGAATTTCGTTGATGTGTTACGAGGTTGGCTAAGTGAATTTGATGCTTCGAATTGAAGATGACAGGGGCGGGGGTATGGAGGGTAATCAAAGGCGACCCCACTACTATCATCACCGGAGAATCATTTGTAAGTTGAAGGGGACTCTTGCGAATGAAAGGACACTTACCCTCGTTAATCTGAGACGTGACAAAGGTCTTTATGAGTGTATCAGTCGTTTGGGTGTAGAGACTCAGGGCGTAACGAAGACTCTGAAGTTCCGGTGACTTCTCCAAGAAATTCTTTTTAAGGCCATTACCACCGGCATGAAAATATTGCTTTATCGTATCCAACGCAACATCCAAGACGGCGCACTGCTTTGGCGACAGATTCTTCTCAACCTCCTTAGAAATATCCTGAAAGTTTGTAATCGATGATATTGTTTTGAAGAAAACTTTAATTCAATCGATTGACGATTAATTGAATTAAATGAAAATTACCATGACCCCGCTGAGTGCATTCTTAACGTCCGGCTTACCACCCATGTGGTTCTTGAACAATCTTGACACATCCTCGATCTTCGCGTTGGCGGCCAAGTTCTTTGCGTTGTCAGTCAAATTCTTGAACATCATCTGTAACGCAACGGGAGAAGGTCGTTTTGTGAATTTTAATATTGAAAAATAATGTATAAAAATATATATGACGTACACTCTTATCTGTCATCGGTGGCAGGACCACTGTCTTCTCTAAGATTCTCATGACTATCTTCCACAACTCTTTGAGGAGTCTCTTGAGAACCGTTTTCTCACAGGACTGTGCATACAAAGATAAACTGCCGTCGAGGAGATCCATCAATGGCCTCAAAACCTCATCAGCCTCTACGGCCACGGCATTCCTCTGTGCTGGCTGCGTCAGTGTGACCTGACCACCACCCTTAATGGCAAGAAGAAGATCGCCCAGTTCGCGTACTGATGCTGTTATCCTTGGCTCAAGACTGCAAGCAAACAACATCGCCAGATCATCAAGAGCTCCGTTGAGCTGCTGTTGCAATTCTTTGAGGATGTTTGCTGCGTCTTCCTGAAGCTTCTCGCCACCCATCGACTCAAACATCTTCTCCAACTGGACTCTCAGTTGTTGGATATTGTTCATGAGAATGCACGCCTAGAAATGAAAGGTTCTGTATCCAACCGCAACCAGAGTCACGTGACTGAGGTGTATTCAGGTAGAGTATACTCACGATACGTTCCTCCTTTAGATGACTAGGAAATTCTTTCTTCACGATGTCAGCGTAAGCCAACAGAACTTTTACTATCGTTTTGGCAAACCTCTTCATATACCTCTTCCAAATTTCAGGATCTGGACATTCGAGTTTGGATACGACATCAAAGCATTGCGTCAGCTGAGTGAAGACGTCTACCACCGAACAACTGAAGAGGGCGTGTTCGCTGCTCTTTTGGAACTGCGCAAAGAAAGATTCACAAAAGTTACATAAGAGCAAACTCCGGAAAATTTATTTGATGTGGATATAAGATTTAAGCATGTCTAATTACCCCGTCTTTCTTGTCCCTGTTGAAGGCGCCGTGCAGATACTCCAGAGAAACGTCATCGTTCTCGTTAAGCCATTGCATGACGAAGGGCTCGAACCAAGCTGGATACTCAGGAACAGCACCCTTATACGGCGGCACGTCTGCCACATATTTAGCGTGTAACCACTTGACCTTGAAGTGTAAATTCATATAGGCCGAGGACTTGCAGAGCCTGTGTTGTTCGTGTTCCTCGAGGGCGTACTTCATGTCCACAGCGAACAGGCTCCACATAGTGGCTGCCGAGTGTTGACCGATGTTCAGCTCTTGCGGGAACTGGTTGAGAACAGGTGCATAACTGTTTCTGTCCTCTTCTATAACAGAGACTATTAAGGCGATGAGCTTGTGCCAAAAGTCTAACGAGTCCAGCCTGGGACCGTGATCTTCGGAGTCCCTTTTGGCTTCGTTAGGGTCGACCTGGAATTCTCGGTTGTAGAGGTCGTAGCAATTCTCAAAGAGGAACTGATAGGTCGACCTCAGGCATGCTTTCACGCAGTCCTTCACAACGGTACTGGCTCTCGGTGGACTTGACAGTTCCTGGACTTTCATCCTGAAGAAGGTGATACTCGTCAATAGGTCAACGGTGCTCTTGAGATCCATCAGCTTCTCTTGGCTCGATGCCGGGAAATTGTTACGGTACATGGACAGGTCGATTCTCAGTGAATTATGTAACTGGTCCAGCAGCTTGACAAACTTCTCCTTCTGCAAAAACAAATGCAATGGTTCACACGAGCGTTCCCACGTATCCACTTAATAAAATGACACTGCTCCCAGGACACGTATCGAAGTGTATCACGTTTCTGCAATGTATATAACTAGCCATTGGGGATCCGCGATGCAAAGTTTAACCGGATATATCTGGTCTAGCAGAAGTCACGTGCGCAGTGGAAGCTTGGGAGAGATGGTTGAGCGTTTCAGTTCCAGTACCATTATCGAAAGATATAGTCTAGGTGTACGTATGAGGTGGTACAAAAAGTGTCGATGGGAGTTCAGGAGAAGAGAAATAAGAAAACGAGACTACGTAGACGGCAGAGAAAAATATTGGTTATAGATTTGTATACGCGAGAATGGAAGAAAAATATAAATGAAACGAAAACGAAACAGAATTTGCGTTTCACATGACAAATCGACCGTGCATGTCCGAGGTGGAGGACGTCCTCAGTGTAGATGGAAGGTCATAAAAAAAAAGAAAATAAAATATGAATAGTCCAGGATGAATTTGAGGGGAAAGCGTCCTGTGAACCTGAAGTAATTCCACGTACGTGCTTTATAAATGATAGCATTAGGTCCGAAATGCCTATACATATAATAAATATAATAAATATAAGGTAAAACTTCAACCTCTGATCCTTTCCACTCAAACTTTTTTATCATACGTATATGAACCCTCTGCAGACATTAGTTTGGACTTTTGAAAATTTAAATTTCACACCATAATCCGTTATCACGTTCCCTTATGAATATTTAACTTCTCTATCGTAGGAACCTAACATCTCGTGAAAGACTTGTTTTATGGAAGAGTGAAAAAAGAAACGTCAGAAAGCAGAACGAAGAAACACTAGAACTTCGAAGGGACGAAAGATACCCTCTCACTAAAAGTCCTTCCCCTTTCATGATCGAAGAAAATTTTTCAGATACGCATCACTCTTTATTCTTCCTGGCAGCATTTGTCGTTCTTCCAAGGAAGTCTGTTAACAAAAAAGAATAGGATGAAAAAGTAAGAAAAGAATTCGACCCAGCCCTCCTCTTCCAGATCAGAAATTCTTTCTTGGCACGTGCCACAGCATATCGTCCTTGACTAGAAATTACTACAGTTACATGAAAAACATATAAGCCACTTTGAAGAAAGCTGGCAAAATATTTGATATCCAGGTAAACACGCCTCTTTTTGAAAAAGATCTTTAAAATCCATACGAATGGATTTCGTGGCTCGGATGCAAAGGTTAGAAGTAAAATAACGATACCGTTGCATCGCATCCAGATCAAGAGCCACTTATTGGACGATTTGTCGAATTGGACATGCTTCTGTTTCCCTACGCTACGGATTACATATGGATCTACTTTTTGTATCACTCCATATTGGTTTCCTAACAAAACGTTACCAGACAGGTAGAAGCCCCTAGATGTCGCTCTGGCTGGCTACCTCAATACCAACCTAGGTAATTGATGATACCCAGGATGCATCTGCAGCTCCGTAACGTACCGGAGTAATAGATGGATATCCACCGTCAGGGCAAATTGCCGAGACATTTCTCAGGGTGGAAACACTACTCACCCCGAAGTTACTGGCGGCAAATCTGTCGCTGGCGGAAACAGCCGAACTGGCCGTCGTGTGAGCATAATAGGCATTTATATTAGCCAGGAGGGTCGACATTACGGCCGGTACTCCCGGACACAGGTACTTCGTCGACAGGCAGTGAAAGTGTCTAAAAAGAAAAATAAGCAGGATAGAGATTGATAAAATTAACCAGCAAGTGTCACGCGTGTGCAATCCCGTCGCTTTTTCATAACACTTAATGACAATGATCAAAAGAGTACATCAGCCACAAGAAATCATTTGGAGCTGATAGCTAAGTAGTAGCCCGGTATACGTATACTCTGATGGAGCTTGTAAGTACGCCAAGAGATGACGTGCAAAGTTCATCGTAACGGAGTTCATCACAATGGGGACCAGCTGAGTCCTACTTACGTCATAGCTTGATAGATGCTCTCGATCCCGTAACGCATCGCAAACTCATCAACGAGCTCCTCTCCAGGAGGATCGAAGTAAACCTTCCAAGCGTCATCGCCCTTGGCTTGAGGTAGCGTGACCATACCGCCATTCTCTTCGCACAGACTGTGAAAGAGGTTCTCGTGGAGGCAAGTGTACTGAACGTGATACGGTGCGACCTTCTCTTCGCCCTTGATCTCCACGCTGATGTGTAACCGGATGGCACCGGATACTGCACTCTTGTCGGTTCTCTTTTCCAGGTTGTACCAGACGTCCATCTCACCGCTCAGGGTCCTGACCTCGATTATCGTCTGCCCAAGGAAGTCATCGCTCTCGCGTGTCAGCTTCTGGCGCAGCTTCGACTTCAGATCATTGTCCTCGTCCCAGACTCGCACCTTGATCCGATCCGAAGAGTTGTGACACTCGCTGGAAAAAATTTTCAAATTAAAAAAAGAAATCTTTGATTTTACAAAATCTAATTTTACAAAATGGTGTATGGATCTACATACGTGACCTTTGAACTTTGAAAAAAATTGTAATCTCCCGATCATCACTTACAAGTAAAACTTCTCGTGCCAGACTGGATTCAATTCTTGGGGCATCGTTCTCGTACGCTTCTTCACCTTACCGACCTGGACCGTCACGTAGGGATCCGACGTTCCGCTTTTATCCTTGGCGATGAGTCCTTGGGCGCAGATCACTGGGGGAATGAATTATTAATCAGGACTTCCGCACATATTTTTCATCTCGTAATTCTAGCGACCCCTGGGGGGTCATTTTGGAATAACTCAGTGGATTCTCAAACTTTTTTGTAAAATATACTAGGGAAACCTCGATGCTACAAAGCTGAAGATCCGTCACGTCGATAATTCCCAAATGAGATTGTCAATTTCGAGGATGGCCTAATGTAATTACGAGATCGGAATGAATTGAACTCAAGAGAGAAAAAGAGAGAGAGAGAGAGGGAGATTAATGAGATAACACTTTTCTTCGTAGCGATCGACCCTATTACCCCAGAGTATTCTGGGGGGTTCAAAGTTACGAATTAGTGAAAATCAAATAAACAGGAAAGTCGCGAAACCTTGGAGCTTCCAAATCTTTGTTCGAGTTTAGAGAGAGAAAAAAAACTTTACAAATCAAGGTTAATCTTTTAATAGATTGTAAAAAGATGCTTATAGTTACTAAACAAGCTTTAATCAGACTTTGAACTGATTGGAATATTTTTTTTTTCCTATTCGATTTCTCTCATTCGATCAAGTCATGTAGTCATTCAAGGTCGGTAACGTCATTTTTATTCATATATATATATTTTTTCTTCTTTTTCTTCTTCCCAGCAAACGCACTCACGCATTCATCCAGGGAACACGTAAGACACATAAGAGTACATATATGTCATGCAAGGAGTGACGCTATCATCGAGCGCCGCGACGTCGATACCAAGAAAGACGTGAATTGTGGGTAGAAGCCATTTTTAAAGCGTGCGTATAAGCTCGCAGTGATGATACTGTGCGTGCGATTGACGAACAAACACACAACACACATGCCCATGCCACAAACTTCTTGGATCCTCGGATGGATCTATATGATGAAGATCCAGGTCGACCTGTTCCATTTTCGTATCTCAACTCTCGAGATTCCCTTTCGACATCCCCAAAGTGCGTATCGTGTGTTGTGCTTGTATATGTACTTGATATGACATATCAACATATAAATGATATATCGAATGAGAAAAACAATATTTCAACGAATCGATAACTGATTATTTATTCCACCACCCGCTCCGTTCATTCGAAGTACCAGAAAGTCTTGATCTCCTCCGCTCTTGAAAATTGTTTTGTGAAAACGATTTCCAAGGTATTGATTTGCACTTGGTTTCACGCTAGCTCATTTCCGTATGGGTTTATCATCTTTCTAGACTCCCACGTACATAACTCGTGAAAGTTACGACGAATCGGATTTTTTTTATCGTTGTTAATGCACTTTATTAGGTTTTGTGAAAACAAAAATTGTGTGATTGGTTCTTTAATATTTTATTTTTTTTAAGATGATTCTTCTTCCTTCTCTCTTGCACCTAACCTGGCCTTCTATGACCCCGTACGACGACCTCTGTCTCCTACTTTTCCTTGTTACAATATCCAACGGAAATATCAGCACCCTTTTTTCAGGTACACGGTTATCGATTTTGTCGACCTTCCCAGTCGAGACAGAGTTAAAAATTTGTTTGCGTCTTTAATTTTATCTGAACTCGGAATTATCTGTGCTGCCTGTACTGCGTAGTTTAATGCACGTGCATTATTCTAGCGTCATGAATGGCTCCCTTTGTTCTCGAGTGAATTAATAGATGCGGCTACGGTCGGTCAGACAAAATATTTTAGTTGGTAATGCAGGTCGATATCCCTTATAGTAACGAAAATCTCTGCTGATCAACGGAATAGAAAATATTTATTTTAACGTTTCATAGATTTGCTGGTTAGGCGTGGCTGGGATGACTTCACGGCAGCCATTACCGTTGTAACGAAAACTATGCTACTCCGGTAGGGTAACGCTCGAAAGCAACAAAGATACGAGTCGCGTCGGGCTTTTCCGTGAAAAGCCGGGATTACTGCAGCTGACTCTTCCGGCAGAGCTATTTTAATTTGCGTTCAGTGAATCAAGAGATTTGATTACTGGGGCGGAAGCGGTAGTGGCGCCAACTGTTACTGTGCCGGTGCAATCCTATCTACTCCCTTTATTATAACCCTTTTTACCTGGGTAACCTGAATCTGCACGATTCAAATATTTTACTTGGTTCGTATATTGAAGGTCTCGCTACATTCTTCGTTTGGGGTTACCTTTAACTTTATGACCGTGGATAGTTTGAAAGTTGGAATATAACATTTTTCTTTGCACGTTCTCATAGGAATGTCCATGGATTGGTTTATGTGTACACTAGCGAGCTCTAGCGGGCTTCTTGTTTATAGTGCAATGACATTGATTTACAATGGTGTTTTGGAGGATCATTTTTGCTCCCGGCTACACGAGAAATGAGGTGACGCCAAGTGTCGTCATTCCGGCGGACTAAGGATTAGGAGTGGTGGACTTTTGGCTAGGGCTGTCCAAGGAGGTTTTCTCTTCGAGCGGACGAGAATTATGAGGGACGACCAATTTCAGGCAAGGTTGGCCAAACTGTGGGTTGTTTTAAATAGTGATTCTTGGTTAACACTGTTTCTCGAGGGCGTCGCTCGATTTATGTCCGTTTATCGACCTTGTTTGCGTGGCTAATGTATTTTTACATTCCTTTTTGTTTGTTCTTGTTTCCTTTTTGTATGTTTTTTTGTGGTCCGATGTTGCAGTGAATCGATTCTTTAGGTGGGATTTGGATGATCGATGTTGTTTTGTTAATTTGTTAAATTGACAAATGTCTTCGAAACATTTTTTTCTGCTTATTTTTATTATGGAAAATATGGATTAACGCCGTTACGTGATTGAGCGTATTAGGCGGTTGTTTTTTGAAAAATTTGAATTTCATCTTTCACAGTTGGTTAAAATCCTACACTTTATTGAACAGTTGTTGCTGCCTGAAGACCTGCGTAGCCGATAGATTTAGCAGGTAGTAACTTTGTAAAAATAAGGCATTTTTTTTGGAGATAGTTCTGTGAGGGACTCGCACGTGCTCTCTTTTCTTCTTTACCTTTTTTGCCGTCTTCGGAAATTGCAATTTCGCAAGAACTGTGGCTCTGCAAATTTTATTTCCCGCACTACGGTAAATCCAGTCGACGTGGATTCTCTTGTTTGACTTTGCCGTTATAGTCTCGCAGGTTCTACCCTCGATAATTCGGGGCTTAAGCCGCGAGCGCAAACTTCACCAGTTTGCAAATTTCGACCAAAGTTACTTAAATACGATTTAATTCTAATCTCAAGAATCCATAAGATTTGAATAGACTCAAGACCATATTCTATCATTTTTTTTATGCGTATGGACGCATCGGTTCAAACCCCTAACTCAAAGAGTCGCAGATCTCATTTAATCCTACAAATTAAATGTTAACCTGAATCCTTGTTAGCTAAAGAAATTTAATTTTCCAAGTAATTTAATTATTTCTCACGTTACCTTCATCCATTTCCCTCTACTTATATTCACCATGTAACAAAACGCAGGTCGAACTGCACGGAGCCGTAAACCTCACGCGATAACTAGTTTCTAAAATTTTCTTCTAGGTACGTAAATGCACGCAACGTTGAAGCTGACCTCACTGAGCTAAAATCCCATGGATTTATAAGATGAGAACGTTCCTTGTGCAAGAAACCTTGAATTCCATTCTTCACGCTCCCTGTCTCCTATGTACTTCATAAATTCTCAATTAACTACTCGAAATATTTCTACCACATCAATTAAAAACTCGCAAAAGTCGACCAGACCCGCCGGATTACATTCTGAAAATGGTTCACGTTTTCTGCATAACATAAGAGTCCTTAAGGGTAAAACGTAGTAATTAAACCGACGAAAGTAGCACCGTGGGACTGGAGTATTAGAAACTAGAAAGAGTCTAGACAATTACATCCACAGTGCCCATAAAAGACAGTTAATAGCATAAACAATGTTTTTGTATCCTAGCGGCGTACAATGCAATATCCCGACCATAGTAGCCAGAATATAAAGACCTAATCGTGAATGTTGATCTTGCGCAACCCACTGCTGATATAAGATTTTGTCAAACCAACTTACAAAAAAAAAAAAAAGAAGCAACTAACCTGCCTTTCGTCCTCGTGCAAAACAAAAAATCCAGCAAAGTAACGAGAAAATAAAATGACCGGCACAAAAGTTCAAATGACTTACTGGTTAAATTTCCACTTTCCGCGGTACTGACAATTGAAATCATCCCAATGGAGTTTATTATCAAAAGCCATGCGTATTATCGGCATGACGATTACGAAGCGATTATATTATAACCGCTTCAATTTCAGTCGTGAAAGCCGATATGGACATGGTACGGCAGCGAACGTAACGTTCCGTAGTAATCGGGGTGAAAACATCATAATAGGCTTATTGTTAGCCGAAGGAACGAATGGAGTGACACGAGGGTGGTAAAAGGTAGACATGAATACGTATGAGAATCCTTCCTTCCTTTTCTTATGGCTGCATCCCCAATGGGGGACATGTGCCAGTACGTATGAGAATAACCCAAGGAAGGTAAACGAAGCATAGAAACGGACTGATGGTTGACGGGTGGTAGGAAAGTTGCGAAGCTGGCAGTGAGTGGCGCCGCACTTGGCTGTTCGTTGAACTATCGATCCATAGACGCATTCACATAGAGAAAAGCCAAGAGAGCCGTAGCCGCGCTATGACCGTTTACGAAAGCTCGTTGCCATTTAGCATCGCTCCGACTGTGCCCGACGTTATTAGCGCCTCTTACGGTATATTTCAGAAGCACTTCCATGTAAACTACTCGGTCGTAGAATGTTAAAATCGATGCCGCCATTCTATGGTCCGCTGTGAATGGCGAACCACTGTGTCGGCGACATATAAACTCGAGTGAGTACTCCAGCCATGCTCGTTTAAAAGTCGTGCACGTACGTTCCACCTAACTTGGCCTAATGCACAGCTCTACTTCAGTAAGAGCCAGGACCGACTGGTATGGGAATATCTACTTATTCATAGTACGTGACTAAAAGATAAATCCAAGAATAAATAGATACGGTTATGTCTGGCAGTAGAGAATTATTTAGTTGCTGCTGTTTAAAGTTATGCCCGAGGTTAATAATACACCGTGACGGATATGTGCATTGTTCTCTGAATATGGTTGAAATTTATACTGCAAAGTCTCGAGTGCATATTGACGGAGCAGATGGTGAGTTTGATATATCTATACACAGTATAATGCACGTATAACGAAGAATTATTAGTGTCTATCGATTAAAGTGGTCGATATGACAATGATATTCCAGATCAGTGATATGGGAGGCTGTGTTCAATGTGAGATGGATCCAGTATCCGTGTTTCTCTGTGCCGGGGTGTTGTTATCGGAATTTAATCAGTCGATCGAGTCGAACGATAATCCAATGAATGATGAGAGAGTGTGAACGCGATGAGGCTCAGTGAACCACTCGAAAGATCGATTTTGAAACTAGAGAGTGTACTGAAAGTGTGAAGGGGCTTTCGAAAGATCTAAAAATCAGGAATAGGTCACCTGTAATGGCGATCTTGCAGGACCACTTGCTGGTACCCTCAAGGACGATCTTTTCTGCCTGTTCGAGGCTGTCTATGTGTGTATCCGGGTCGACTGAAAACGTTGTGCTGAAAAGAACAATGACTTTGTCATCGGGAATTATCCACGCTACTTACTACCTCTTTCGATAGACGATCGAATCGCTGCTCGATGTGTTGACGAACGTCCGGATGATTCAGCCAATCAGCACACACCTAGATCGTTAGTTACCTACGAATTTTTTTAAGCCGCTCTTTGATTCTCTGTTTCACCTTTCTCAGTGATATTCGCTTCCATTATCGCCTGTCGGCGTCCTAAAGATTATCCGATCGAGGGTGGAACAGTGTCGTCATTAAGACGTTATCGATCTTCCTTCGCCCACGAATTGGACGATTCTATTAATGAATGGCCACCTGTTAGGCGCAGAAACCGAATTAACGTCGGTACCGTTTACTGGTTTGGACGGCGTAAGAAAACTTGTTGCACAGGCCCCGTGGCTCCTCGCCAACTTGACTTCGTGTTCCGTCCTAGAGAATAATCGTCGAGAGGTGGAGGCGTCGCTTTGAGGTTAGGGTAGAATAAGAAAATGCTGCGAATATTAATTGTCTTAATTGTAATTCCTTGTTTTCTTTCTCCCGAAGAACGAAGGGAATATTACCCGGTAGAAATTAGCCGTTCAAACTGAAATTCGTCGGATAGGAAAATTAATTGCTTCAACGAACATTCGACTAGTGCCACGTTTGCCTCGAACTTTCTTACAAGCATTAATTATACTCCTTGTCAATACTACCGTCGCAGGAGCCATCTCGCACTTTGCCATCTAGAATTTATCGTCTGAACTTACCTAACGTATAGATTTCTTTCCAGGATCTACCACGCAATGTACATCTAAAGCTAGTTCACGTTCGAGAAAGAATCTCATGAAAATCAACCGAATCGTGGATATAAAGGGTATCGTACGAAATGGATACATTACACTTTTTCTTTGTATTCCCATTTGCGAAATCGGAATTCCCAACGTACAACTTATGAATGCTACATACTTCGGAAGGTCACGTACGTCTTCACTCAGTCACGAGCTACAGGTGTAGGTTGCAAACGGCCGAAAGAAGGCAGATTTGAGTGAAATAAAAATGATGCTAAAAATCCTTCAAAAAAATATAAAAAGTAGAGTACAACGAATATCTCGATACAACAATGGCGTCGATGCGATTTAAAAAATATATCACGATTGGCTCCACCTACGATTACTTTTACAGGTACCCATCCTGTGCTCAACCTTCGTCCGATCACGGAGTCATGGACTGCGAAGTGCCTGTCGATTCTCCAAAAATTCGAATGGTCAGGATTTCACAACGCTCGGGACCTTCGGCTCGTTCTCTTATATCCTTTAACTCGCCACGATGAGCGACGGCCGTTTGCGGATGCGGCATAAAGATTATTTCTTCCTCAAAAATTCTCAAGTCTTGTCCAGTGACCAATTTGAGGACGTCGGACTATGCATTACAGGTGGTTCACGTCGAGGTGGCTGATGGCCAAGAAGACCGGGTTTGTATTTGAACAATGGCGGCGTGGAGGGCGTAAGCCACAACAAGTTGCCGTGTGACCTTAATGGACTCTCGATTGAACTCCTGTCGGGTAGGATACGCGATAGCCTACGGAGGGCGCTTACCCCCTCTGGGCTGTTCTCCACACCCTTCTAGTCACTCGGAACATCCACCCACTCCCTTCCCTTAGACTATAATCGCTGGTTGTAAAGCTCACCCTTTCCGTACGATTATTCCAATTGAATCCACCCTTAAAACTGAACGATCTCACGGCGTGCACCCTTATGATTATTTTCATCCCTCCCTCTATCCTCGACCCTGCTAGCCCTTACTCCGCCACGAAATTACCCCGTGTAGTTAAGCTTGACTGCCCCACTTGACTGGCTGCTTAATCGAAGAATTATTTCGGGCGAATCAGACGGAACCAGCATGCTGCTGACTTTAAACCCAAAGACTCTCAGATCTTCGGGGTCAAATGATTCACGATCCTCGACCTCTCGACGAATTCCTTAAGACTCGCGACAAATTATGTAAGCTTTATGGATCTCTTTCGATTTTCATCCCTTGTGCTAAATCCTTAAAAAAACAAGAGCTACGTTAAAATATAAAAATCGTGACCAAATGAAAAAATACACAAAAACTCATATATAAATCATGAAAAATCGAAATTTCGAAATATGAATATACTCAATTATTCATATCAAAATCGGTATTTCCCTTTTCAATTAAAAAAAAAAAAAACTATTTCAATTAAATTTATCTAAAATTTCTCTAAATTCGTCACCGCAAGCAGATAACGATATTTAACCAGCGATCAACACATTAATAATTACCTAAGGATACACAAAAGATCGATCTGTAATTAAACCTAATTCTAGAATATCCACATATTTTTTTTTACAAAAAAAAAATAATCATCGCCATTACGATTCTGCACGAATCCCTAAAAACAGCCAAACAAAAGTTTATCGTACATTCAGCGCAATACACGATTAATATATTAATATAGTGTATTATACGTATACAGGATGATTCGAGAATATCGCACAAACTTGACCTAAGCTTATCGATTAAATTTTCATGCTTTTGAAACTACCCCTTCAGGTGGTACAATTTTCTTGAATCACCCTGTACACCTATATATGTATTTATATGTACACAACACTCAGCAGCTTTAGCATATACAATCCACAAGTCAGGGCGCATAACAGCGCGTTAGGACATATTACGCATAGGCGCAGACACAGTGAACGACGACGAAGGCAGCGACTCGTTTTACGACACAACGTCTTAATGGGTTCAGGACAGAAGAGCACAGCGAGTGTCCACAAACCTGTAATAGCGATCTTGGCCGACCATTTGCTGGTACCGTCCAGGACGGATTGCTTCACTGCACCCATGTGTCCAACGTGCGCCGTTTTGTCTACTCCGAACACGGACCTAAGCTCCGATTCAGATAATTCGCACGTGCTGTGACTCATTCGCTCGCCTCCTCCGTATTCAGTGACACCGAAATAATTGAACCCGATTACCGGTAATCGAACGATCGATACCGTGACGTTAAACGACCGGATGGACGATCGTCGTATATTTAATTTTTTTGTATTAAAAAATAACTGTTAGAATGTTCAGTTCCTTTGATCAAGCGTACGTATCACTTAGGTGCTTGCTAATTGCATGACGTCACGGCATCGGAGATTAATGTCGATTACAGGAAACTGACTTGGAATTTACTCAACCGAAAAGTTAGCCTAACGTCGACGTCGGACTTTACGGAGAAGGTGAGATACTTTTGATGAAGATTAATATTTTAATTTTTTATAATCATTAATAGCTGCCTCATTTTCACTGTGGGGAAATTTTTTTAAAAATATATTTATGACGTCATTGCCACAATTTTACAAGGCGGACTTACTTTTTGAACGCGTTGATTTTTCATTTTTTTTTTTTTTGATAATACGCATTTTTGACTTATGGATTCTTGATTTTGGGATTAGATCGGGATTAACGGTTGATGATTTTGATCGATTGTAATTGGCCGGGGCGTGAAGCTTCTTTGCTAGGGTTGTACGAAAATAGTGATAGGGAAAGTAAATTATTGGTCGGAACCAACTTCGAGCCGATCGATTGGGTTCGATTAACCTCGTGAAGGATGCGAGCAATTAATTAAGCCTGATTCTCATCGGCGAATGCTTCATGGGGGTTGGGGGCTTTATCAATTTGGCTTTACGTGACGTCATTGGTATTTATGTCGATAAAGATTTATAATGAGCTCGATCCAATTGGACCTAAAGCTAATTGAAATCATAGTGGAGCCCCTATCTAGTACGAGCCGACTAGTTCGTGACACCTTGGGCTAATATCAATTTGATCACGTGTTATCGGACCCGATTAACCTACTCTGCAATGTTTGCTTTTCCTTTAGTCCGGTGGTATTATCTGAAAGTGACTCTTTGAAATTTTGAAAGTGACTCTTATCTCGGCAGTACACTGTATATATTAATTATTATGATTTTTAATAATGTTTTTTGATTCGCAAAAAATTAGTCCTCTCAATTCCAGCAAGTTAGGACATAAGTCGTTGATCGATGTTAAGAATGAAATTTGAGACAGGGGACTCCTTAATGTTCAATCACGTAAGAGGATGACCCCCGATAAAATATTTTATTCGTAAGTTATCTTTATCATGCTATATAATGCTATAAAGAATATCCGTTATCGTAGCGCTAGCAGTTGGTGTCACGGGAGACCTCTTTATAATTATTATCTTGTGTTAATGGTAGCTTTGCTGGAGGCTTAATTTTTCTTTTCCTTTAACGTTACAAATTGCGGTAATTACAAAGGCATTGGCCGTGTTTTCACGTAGGCGAATCGATGACGCGATTCCAAGACGATTTTCTGCCTTTAATCTATTGACGATATGAAAAAATTATATTGACTCTTTCAAATTGCAACGTATCGAATGCATTTTCGATAGTATTTCAACGGCGTCATAGGTCAAAGTTTACAATGGATTTAATTCACTTCAAGCCTTGTTGAATTTTACAAAAACTAGCCTAACCATTGAACATTTGGACCAAGAGTCGACTATACGCTGTATAATTAATTTTATTAATATACGTATTGTCAAAGATCAAAATCATTGATTAAAAATTTGAAAAACAACCACGTATACCTCGATTATTATTATTATCAAAAGTCGAGTAGGTATTATGGGTAACTAAAAAAAAAAAAATTACGTTCAAAAGCAAGTTTCACCACTGACAAATATTTTGGCAATATATCTGATGACTTTTGTGTGGCAATGACGTTTGTTTCTACTTCGGTGCTTTCGAACATAAAAGTTACGTGTTTACGGTTTCACGCCGGAAACCAAGAAAGTCGAGAAGGAAGTAGTCGACTTACCGGATGAGCTCGAAGATTTCCGGTTTCTCCCGTTCCCTCTGCTTCATTCTGTCCTTCATGGCGGTGATTATGCTGTTCGCCTTATCTTCGGCTCCGTGCTTCGAGCTCTTCTCAGCGGCCCCTTCGAACGAGAACGGAAACGAAAGCATAAGACAGCGTGTCGACGGTAAGAATTTCATCAGCAAAGAATCAAGAGAGTTTTCGTTATCAGGTATCATCACACATATAACTATCTTACCAAGAGCATCCGGGTTCGAGAGGACAATTATTAGAAGCACAGTAACGATCCTTGACGTCGGTATAATTTTTGGGGACAATATCCCTATTATAAGCTTTTTAACAGTAGTTCGCGTAATTCCGCAATATTACGTAATTTCAAGTAAAAAAATCGTCATCTAATCTCGTCCGTGATCTTGAGGTTAAAAACCCAATGAAACTCTCGAAATCGTTATCTTTCTCAACGAAAATCTTCCACGTCCTCCTTTTTCCCCTAGATCTCTCGGTTCTCATGGCTGCGACTTTTACCCAGGACGAAAATTCGAATTAGGCGAAGAAATTTTTCTAGCACTCCTTTCGCGCCACGGCGCTCTTCGTGAAATTTCTGGCGACGTCGACTCAGCCATGCGTCTTTATTCCCGGAGTGACTGTAACCCGGGTTACGTAAGTCTCTTGGCTGTTGAAACGGTACGAGTGTATTTGCGTCTCGTACTTCGTAATTTAGAATTTTACGTAGCATTCGAGGAGTTCTAATTTTCCGGCGAAACACCGGATAAGGACTACGACGAAAGTCGCTTGCTTGAAATGAGGCTTTAACCGGGTCGGATATTGCGCGTAGTCGTAGTTCTAATGCACGAGTGTAGGCCGTTTTGCTTTTTTTGACTTATCGTTCGGTGACGTATAGGGGTGCGCTAATTAAACGCTTTGACCTTTATTTTTAATTATTTGATAACATCTTTTTATCTTATTATCGCTTATTGTTATGATTATCAATCGTGGGATTGAATTTCGAGCTCCGATCGATACAATGGAAATTTCATTTTATCCACGTCGTCCAGTCTTGTCCTTTACGAAGTGCGAATCGATGATCGCTCGTTTTGAAAGACCGGAAGTGGTCGGAGCAACCTGCTCTCAGTCAGCTGACTATTGGAGTATTTCGAGTTTCACGTGGAGCTAAATTAACGTGGAGTTCGAAATTGCGTCAACCGACAATTGCTTTGTATTATCCGAACCGTTGTTCTCTAATGAAATAGGAAATTAATCGATTTAACCTATAACCAGTTTCGTCATTGGTGTCAGACTGGATGATCAGCCTCGAGACGCTGGATCATTGACATATATCATAGTATGGACTACGCGATCCCTAATTCGAATCCTTGGAAAAAGTCTCAGCTCAGATAGGCAAAGAGGAAATGAGGTGGCGGCCAGTCGCTCTCCTTTTCTAATTCTCTTATTGGCTACTTTATACTTTCGTATTACGGCTACTGATAGAGAGACAGGGCTTGGCCGCCACCAGTCGCTATTTTTTTTTCTTTTGGCCAACCATTTTCCCTATCTCTATGTCTACTTCATATTGTACGTAGATGCGTTGGACGATTCACTGTATTCTCTAGATTGCCATTATAGGTGCCATTTCAGGTGCCATTTTAGGTGCTCTCGAACGTTCTAGAAGAATCTTTTCATTTAATTTTAACCAACGGAAGAAAGTATCGAGCAACTTCAATTAACTGATCTCAGCACTTTTTACTTTTTTTTTTTTTTAATTTAATTCTACCAAACTGTAAAAGGTCGAAGTTCACTTCTATCAGTATTATGACTTATACCTCCAAGCTGCTGGCTTATAATAAAGGAATTTCCCTAGTGTACGAGTTGTATATGTTTTTCACTGAAATTTTTATCAGATATACTATATATGTATACGGCTGCATAAACAATTTCAATATCCTCCAATAACACAATACTCCACGATACTCTGATAGACAAGACTTTTTTTGAAAAGGTTATCAATTTTCAAAATGATTGTATTCCCCAGTCGTAGTTATCCCGTAACGTAGTTTCATTGAAAAGTCACAGCTTTAACGGAACACGAACAAGCTTTCTATATACGTATAAGCGTAGCAATTCGTGAATCGTGAATATTCAGGAAAAAGACTCGAAAAAAATGACTACAGTACGATTCAGCGGCAAAGTAACGTGGAAAAAACAACGGGAACCGGAGTGCGTTTTAAATAAGTGCTTTTAAAATACAAATATTCCTACAAACAATGCGGAGCACAATCCGAACCATATGCGCACCGTAAATACGTATATCCACATATGTATTAAAGTGAATATAAACAAGAAACAGCGATAAAGTCAAAATAAATACTGAAAATAGTTTCAATTCTTTGTGTAGCCTATCTCGTCGTTTTTCCTACGGAGATACAATATTTGTCGATGCCATATTGACCCATTCTCCTGGAGACTGGTAGAAGATAGGGATCTTCCAACGTACCAATATCCCAGCATCATATAGTGCGTAATGGACCTATCACAACACAACCCCCTATCGATCCTCCATCGACCAGCCATATCTCAAAAGCATAAAATATTTAAAAGCCTCTAGTGCACTTACGTTGCAAACAGTCCGCGTTGAGAAGGTCCTTGCACTTTTCATGACACTTGACGCCACACTCCATGCACCGAACTCCCTGCCGGGCTATACCCCAGAGCAGCCCCTCGCACTCGTAGCAGTAAGTCGGCGAAGTGGCAGTCCAGGTGACGAAATTGTGCGGCGTGGTCGAGGAAATGGGATAGATCATCGCCTGGAGTGTCTTCTTGTAGACGTGCATCTTCTGCGAGCAGCGCGATGCAACGTATGAGAATGCATTTTTTTTTTTAAATATCAACAGAAGCCATTTTCATCAGACATTTTTTTTCACTACACTCTCCGGCCCTCTACCGGTTATTGACGTATATAGTCGTAGTAGATGTGTGCCGCTTGACTGAGAAATATATATATATATATATATGTATGCTATTTTATATATACATTATGAGCATATGCAAGGTACATACCTATATACATATCGAGTGCAGTTTTAGATACGGACAAACTCAAGTGATCCAGTGCATTTCTGGTGCATCTCTATTGTGAATATCTTCACTTTCTACGGTCCAATTGATTTTATCTTTACCTTGGGGAACAAGTATGGTATATAACTATTTTAGGACTTCCAATCGACTGGAATATATTTGGAGTTGCAATTTATTACTGGTCTACCAACCGATGTGTGAGGTACACGTGTGGACAGGCGTTTTGTGCACACATGCTGTACTTTCTCTAAGGTGGAATATTTCCCTGGGGATCCTTCCTGATATGGTATCAACATCGTACACGCGAATTCTTTGTGTGCCAATATTGCTGTGTATGCTCATGACGGTGTATGCGATTTTATATATGTGAGTTTGTATAACAATGTTTGTATAAAAATCCAGATTTTTATGGGATTCGTGGAATTTAACGGTTTTGTTTTGCGGAATGCTGCATTTTATGAAGGAACTTGGAAAAATATTTTTGCTTTATTTGTATGGTCAGGGGTCATATCTTTTCTTCAACATTTTCACATATATATATAAAAAATTGTTGAACCAGTTAAAATTACTATGGAGCGACTAAATTTGACAAAATGAATTGTTGTTTATATTTTTAAAAAAATTTAGAATTTGTTTGTACGAACCTTAGTACATTTCTTATATTATTATTCGACGATCAACACTAAATAGCGATTATGTCACTCAAAATATGTCTGGTGAATTAAAGTTTTTTTTTTCTTTCTATTTTTGAAATATACCGATACTAATGTACTTATCTTGAATTGTTCAAGTCGATCATTCGAACAGTGTATAGAGTAACGATGCTTGATGATTATTTGAACTGTTTCATTATCTACGAAGATAATTATAGCGGATTTTTATTCGCATAATTACTATTACATTTTTTGTAATGATAACGCTGGTAAGAGGGCCGAAGATTTCTTATCTTTATTATTATTTATTATCTCCTGTATTATTTTTAATAAGGCAAGATTCGTATTGCCTGTTTGTGTGTGAGGGTTCATATACATATATATATATATAAAAGATTCGCTAAATTCAGGAAACTGCGTGCCTGCAAATCTTAATATGCACAGGTGATAAAAAAGAGATATAGGATAAGATAAATATTCATATAAAAAAAATATAAATGAATCAAAGGATTCGAGAGAGATTTAATTTTTATCTCGAGTTATCAATACACAATATACACATATGCAAGGTAAGATAAGATAAGAATCTCTCCCGAATCTTACCTAAAAGCTAGGGTCGTTATAAAAAAGCATGTGAGATTGGACTAGAAAGCACTAAAAAAAAAAAACCGATTAAAAATTTTCCCTTTTTTCCCCCATATTCTCAATATTTTCTCTAAAAAATTCTCCACGGGTATCCGTATATATACACTATTTGTGCTTTTGACTAAAGCGAAGGACCTTGCTAGCATACGAGATGGAATCGAAGCTCAGGAGCGCAGCATCCTTATCAGAATTCACGTAAGTCCCAGACACAATATGATTCCTTAATTTTTACAAAAAAAAAAAAAAAAAAAAAAGTCTACGCGAGTGCCAAGGTAGCATGGACCAGCTAAATGTACCAGGATTCAGATTTCATCTCAATTTCCAGCGTGTCTCGGTGATGTCCTTATCGGATTAAAAACTCTCCGGACACGTCAGACTTGTATCGCGACCTCATGAAATCCTGGTGAGAGCCTTATCAGTAATTTTGGATCTTTCCTAATTCTTAATTGTATTGTACTATACATATACACGTATATATATAGCATATGTATATACACGAATAGTTAAAATGCGGTGGTTTCGACTACTTCTTGCCTAATTGATCCTATAGTGACTAGGAGATGATTTTCTAAGTTGCTACTCCTTGCTTGCTTGATTGGTTGCTTGTTTGTTTGTTTGTTTGTTTGCTTGCAGAGAGGGTGGCACACTTACGTGAAAGAAAATAGACAGCGTGGAAATGAGGATAAAATGCAGCACGGTTCGTATGAAAAAAAAGTACCAAGTTAAATTAACCCCATGTAGTACAAGGCCGACTATTAGGCGATGTTTCGTCGCGTGACTATGAACTGGACTTAAGGATTAAGTGATTCGGAAACCCTACGCGACCACAGTTGTCGTAGAAAAACAGCATTGGATTTATCGTTATACGTGACTTCTCGCATTTACATGTAAAACCCTCGAGCGACAGTTATACTACCCTGCATTTTTATCTTTGATCCGATTCTCGTTACATCCCTTGGTTATATATATTTTTTATCGATTCTCTCCGTCCCCGAGTATCCGATTTCGACGTTCCTTTAACCGATATAGGCAATTTTTTTTTATCGTTAACAATAAAATCCTATTCAATTATACGAATCGTCATTTTATTTATTTAATTAATAACTGCAGCATCCCTTATCGAAATTATTGATAACACGATAATTTTTTTTATTTTCTTTTTTCAATTCTCTTCGCAAAGTATCAATGCGATCAACGACGAAGGATTATTCTTGTGCTGGGATTTTCAGAAGTTGTTATAGACGGAGACTCATTTGCTCTGGTCTGTCGCGGAATGAAGGATCCAGAGGGTCAAAAGGTAAATGAGACCGGGAGGAGAAATAAGCACAAAGACAGCCAAGTGGTGGCGTAAACGTAAAACGAAATGGAAATGACTCTGACGAGATTATGCCAGTGCGCAATGGGCGACTCGTAGGATCAGGGCTCGTTTTTAAGGCCGCGTCGTTAAACCGTGGATGCCGGATCGAGCGTTAGTAAGTTGTATGAATTTTTGTTTTCGTTGGAGCAAAAAAAAAATTTCTCCCAAAATTGCAAAACACTGGTGCACAGACTTTATTATCGTATTTTATATTACGCGAGTATACGATCTCGTTATCACTAGTTATTTTATTGTGCAATTGTTTTATGATTTTTTTTATTAATCCTGTTTTCTTTGTATGTCCGGCATTTTTAGTTAATCTTATCGTTTATCAGCCTCCGTGTGGCTCTGGGCTAATGGCTGTAATCGTTAACGCGAATTTGCTCGGCTGCCCTCGTAGGCGATGCTTTATCTTTTCGATACTGGGCTGAATATCTATATGAATATATTCCTGGGTTAACGCCGAACTGTCGCGTGTCCTTGTCATTTGCATTTTATCCTTCATCACGCGTGCACAAACGGCCCTGACGATTAAACAATCACGTTGAAAAGGGTACAGTGATGATTATTTGAAATATCGTTCGAGAGGGTCGTGCGATTATTGTTGAATTAAAAGATAATTTTAGAAAAGTCAAAATTCGAGATAATTAATTTTTTGAACAGAACTCGACAAGAATTGACCTACCACCGATAGGTAATTTTCAATAAGTATACCCGTGAAATTGGTTGCTTTTTTGTATCAGCGATCGCAAAGCTTGAGAAAAAAATTAAAATAATAATCGTATTTCGCATTTTTCTTGGATCCCTTAAAAAGTTTATCGAAAATATTGGCACTTTTCGGAAAAAAAAAAAAAAAAATTTGAAATTTATAATGTATAATTAATGCAAGGGTCTCTTACCAGTTCCTCGTCGTTCAAAGTAGCTCGCGGCACAGCGGACGTCAACCCAGCGTTCCTCTTGGTGGCTGCCATTGTCTGTAGAGAATTATAAAATTTAATAAGCATTTGTTACGTACTGAGTTGAAGATAGGAGAAATTGTAAGAGAAGAACAGCAGGAGAGGGAAGTCTATGAGAGTAACAAAGGGAGTAGAGATTAAGTGTAGGAAAACAAAGTAGAAGTAGTGTATCTCGACTAATACGTCAACTGGCGACAGTTGAAGTTGCTACTAAAAAAGAAAATTTGTGAGAATTTCGAATATTCACATAATACAAAAGCTATGAGTAACAACATTTTTGTATTTACAGTGCTGTCTGTGCCAGCTGAAATTTCTAGAATTATATACAAGTGCTATAGCAAATATATGCATCAACTAAATAAGGCCTGGCTGATCGCTCTATAGGCATATATTAACTTTTGTACCAATGCTTGTAACGTGTAAAGAAAGGCATGCGAGCGAGCGTTTCAGTACGGCGATAATCAGAATATTGGGTTGCAATTTTAAATTCTTATCAAACGTAAATACGATCATCGATACACTCGCTCCATGATTGCCGGAGAACTACGAAGAATTTTCTCTAGCAATGCGTCCATGACGAGTTACAGTGAAATTCGATACGTGAGAGAAGCGATGGTGAAATTTTATAAGCAAAAGATGATATTACGTGTATCTCTTATCTGAATAATCTTTCTGTGGTAATTACAGCTATTTCATAATAACGCGATAAATTACGTAGAAAATGAGTGATTTTAATATAACAATGAAGTATGTGTGAGTGATAATTTTAATTATGAAAATTAAAATGGAGATCGGACAAATAAATTGAAAGGTGCAACATTGTAACATGTTGTGTTACAAAAACAAAAATGGCGTAACGAAATGAAAAACTGCGGGAGAGTCAGAGAGAAAGAGAGAGACAGATAGAGAATGGGAAAAGGCTATATGGAAAATCTAATCCAATTAGCCTATGGTGTCTTGCATGGTCGCTGGGATTTGCGGTAAAGATTTTAATTAAGATTCTGCGCTCGTTCAGGTTGAATCCGATACTTGCGCAACAAGACACCTTCACCCCAATCGGTTGGCTGGTTGGGATTTAACATACACCCGAGTATGTAATCCTTTGAATATAAATTTTTTTTTTTTGAAAAACCTTGTGCTTTCTTTTTTAAAAAAAAAACAGTGAGCAGATGAGTTGTATTAGATAAGACAGATAAGGGTGTTTAGCAAATAATTTTTCTTGTACGAAGAAAAAGCAAATTTTGAGAAAACGCAGGAATACGTAATTTTGTGTATTTCTGACATTTTTTTTTTTTCTATTACTACGCACGTGCAATTGCATCCACCATAAATAATATTCAAGATGCTTCGTCAAATGCCATACTTATAGATTATTGATTTTAACTTAGGACTACGATTATCCAACAATCATCTACTGACATCTATACGTGTTTCTACGAAATGAAATTGTGTACTAGGAATCCAATGCATATAGACAGAGTACAAGAATTTATGCAGCGATGGCTGTTGCACTCTGGGAGAAAAATGCATTGGATTTTTCTTTTTTTTATGAAACTACAATTTTCGTGCAGCGGGATTAATTTTTTTTATTATATGCGAATCCTCGAAAATTTTGAAAATTTTAATAAAAATTTTTGATCGCGAATATTGTGAAATTTTGAAATATTTTTTTTTGTCATTTCGAGGAAACGCATCTTGTTCGAATGAGCGCGTGTATGTATAAGGTGGGATAATAAAAGAGACAGAGAGAGAAAAAGAGACAGTACGACTGCGAGAGAAAGAGAAAGGACAAAAGAAAAAGTCAAGGGAGATATAAATTTTCTTTTGTGGCTGCCTCCGGGCAGGCAAACAATTGGGAGTTAAGCAAAAGAAATATGGGATAAAGAATGACAGTGGATTTTATCGTTTATAACGAGAAAGAGAAAATATATCAAAAATATATATTTTTTTTAAAGTACTCCGACTTGTACGTCATTATAGAACAATGGCTCAGAGCCATACGATAAACTTCCGATTTAAAGCAAGAAAAGAAAGGGTCGTGAAATGGGAAAATTAAATAGTGCAAAAATTTTGAACTCGAATCGTGAAGTGTAAAATATAATGAAAATAAATGCTTTTATGGGTAAACGAATCGTAAGAGAGTTGTGAATTAAACGATAGGTAGAAATGTAATTTAAAAGAAAAGTTGTTGGCTGTGAATGCGTAGTCAAACAAAAAAAAAAATAAACGAGCGGGAATTTCAAATTAACTAATTGCAGCTTGAAAGCGAATTTTCAAAGCACTACACTTTAGATTGGTGAATATTATGAAATTATTGTATGAAACAGAGCAAAAGACGTTTTTCTTAAATAAAAGTCCAAACATCCGACGTGGGCAGGAATAATAATAATTTGAGTTTCAAAATGAAATTTCATTGAAAACAAAAAAAAACAATAAAGCAGATTACGAGTTTCATCTCTTAACGAAGGTTAATTAGATAGTCTTACAAAAATATCCAGCATCCGTGAGAAAAGGAGTGAAACGAGAGTAACACGAAGTTGGTGAAAAAAAAGAGAGAGAGAGAAGAGAAGAAGAGCTAACTAGGATAAGAAATAGTAAATAGATAGAGAAATGTGAAAACTGTGAAAATGCATGCGACGTTCGAGCAAGCTTAATTAACTTTGGTAAGGAGGCATTTAATTAGTACCTTCAAGACCTGTAGGTAGAGTTTTGAGATTTTTTTGATTTTTTTTTTTTAGAGGTTCAGTGAGTGGTTTCAGGTGTTCAGGTAGATATAACAACGGGCGCCACAGAGAACAAACAAAGAATAGCATTATCTGCCGGTTAGTTGTGCTCCTTTCATATTTGGAGGTTATTCTTCATAGGCACGACGACAAAGTGGAAGACACTCGCACCGAGAGCAACAATTATCGACTGTCCGTAAGGGATAAATTAACGGAACAAGATCTTGTGAAACGCACAAAATTTTTAATAAAAGTTCTTTTTCCAACATTTTATATTTCGTTTCACACGAATATCGAACCCTGGCCAATCTTATATTCCCCACAGATATTCCACCGAGATCAGCCACCCTTCGAAAAGACATGAAAAATTCAATTTCTTCCTGTCGGATTAACTCGATAAGTTCGCTCTCGTACATAAAAATTGTAACAGACCCAGGGAGACTTTAGGATACGCAGTATCATTTTTTCGATCTCGAGGTTAAAGTTGAGTTCGAAAGGAACGACAGTACCGTTCGAGGACACGAATATGGAAGCTCCAGGATAAAGGTACGGTACACAACAATTAGATATAAATTTTCGAACAGTCGACACTGAACATTCAGGGATTAGAAAAAGAAACATGAGAATTAGAGAGAGAGAGAGAGAGATAGAGAGAGAGAGTGTGTGTGTGTATGAGAGTGATAGAGTGAGAGGGGAGCGTCGGGAGAGGAAAGAAGGAAGATTTTAAGGACAGTATAAAATTCTTAAAAAGGATCACTATAGGTGGATACAGGGAAGATATGACGAAGGATTTATTTTTGCTTTCTTGAAAACGACGCTCCCATCTCCCGTGTGACACCCGGGCAACATTTAACCCATTGATACAGGCGACCAAAAAAAAGGGGAAAAAAAAGGAAATTACCTTGTCTCCCACCTTTGGTCGAAAATTTCGAGAAAAATCAATAAAGTTATAAATCGATCACTTCGGTAATGTTTACATGAGAATCGCTCGGTATTTGGACGTAACAAGGGAGACACAAAGGGGAAACAAAAATTAAAATCCTCACAATATAAACGGCTGGAGATGCAGGGTTATACAAGGTGGTTCGAGATATCTGTATCTCTATAGCAACGAAATAAATTAATTAATAGATTTTCGTCTACTCTTCCCGTCTATTCGACGAGAACAGTAGCTACGATTGAATTGGATTGAGCCCTCGGAATCTGAATGGATCAAGTTGGATCAAAAGGTTATTCGAAGAATCTTTCTTCGTCTCGAACAAGAAAATATACCCGCAGCGACGAAGTACGCCATTTTTTTTGTCGATTCTTCAACCCTTTTTCTTTCATCACTTCGCTTTTACAAGCTTCGTCGATTTCTTTATCTATTCTTCTGCGGGTCCTGGGCCCTATTGTTCCCGGATGCTATGGCAAGAATTTTCATTTAATCTTCGTGCAAGTCACGCGTGGCTAATAAGTGTCTAGTAAATTGGGAAACTCGTGCTGGGAGATCTTTGATAATTTTACGGAATTCGTTGTATCGGATAATTTTGTGATTTATGAGAAATCTGTGGTACGAGTTGAGAATTGTAAAAAAAAAAAAAAATAATAATTTAATTCGTATGAATCAAATACGAGAATTAAATAAGTGTAATTTTCTTTTTAAATGAGGTAAACGACCTTCTTCATTCTTTATTGTGTTACGTCGTCGCTGTAGGATGTATTATTCAACGGGTGTTCATTAGAAACAAACGAAGCGCTATTCGCATTCGAATTTCAAATGTCCATTTTCGACTTGACCGCTCCCCTACGAGGACTGTACTTTCGGAAATGGCTGAAATCTTATCTTGTAGTAACGTCTGTGAAGATATTTTTAGGTTATCTTCGTTAAACTATATTATCACGGTTACTAGGGGTAATTCTATTTTTTTTTTATTATTTCTTTTTCAGATTTTCCCGGAAACATGAAAATGGTCGACAAAAAAAAAGAAGACTGAAACGCAAAACACGCATTATCAGTAGAATCTGGCTAAGGTGTTCAGTATTTTTTGTTATCGAGTTCGAACGCACCTGCGTGAAATTAAGGGAGAAAATATGAATTTTCTGAAAAGACCTCATTTTTTTGTTTTACCAATTTTCACGTCTTACCACCAAAAATATCCTTCTGTCGCGGATCTTTAGAGATTTTGAATTTTCTCAAAAAATCTTTGTCTACCCCGTAAGAAATTTTCTCGAAACGCACGAAAACATGGATAAGCATTATCGCGAAGTGATAACTGAGTTATTTCACGTTTCAGAAAATTGAAAAAATTACAAAATCTACTTCTTATAAACATTGATTAATCACGTAAATTCAATCGAGAGGAAAGATGTTTCCGGATCAATTCATTAATCAACTATATAGAAATCTTAAATATATAGAATTATAATTTCCCTCCAAAAATTTTTCAAGCCCAAACGAATATTCCCCCAGATTTCCGAGCATACATATACAAACTAAAATTCCCTATAAAAATCCGTATAACAGTGCAATCGAACAATATCGTAACGACTTGCGTTGCGTAATTATTAACTCAAGGCAAAACAGATTTACGTAGACATCACCCACCCAACTCCTGGTAAACTTCTCGTCAGGATAGCATATCAACCCAACTGCAGTTTCTAATTAATCCAAATGAATAACGTTGCAATCGTATACAGAAACCCGACACAGTACGTCGCTGCTAACTCTGAAGGCGGATACGTAAGACACGAAAATCACAAAAAGTATAACGACGCTTCACGACACGAAAACGAGAAGAGACACACGCGAAAGAGTGTAGGCGACGTCCTTGGATACGTCGAGGATCAGGATTACGAAAAGGAGGATAAGAAGAACGAGGGGGGCGG